ATTTTGAAAGAAAGTTCTACTTTATTTACTAATTTTACTATTCTTCTGTTTATTAAAATTTACTATAAAGAATGAAACGATCTGGAAAAAAGTGTCAAAAAAATTTGTCAAGAGTCTCACAAACAAACTTCAGCACAGGAATCTGCAAGTTCCGATTCTCCCAAATAAACGTCAATATTGAAATAACAAGAATCTGCAGCTTCCGACTCTACCAAAACCCAAAAGTAAACGTCGAAACAACAGGAATCCATATCTTCTGGTTTTACCAGAACCCAAAAGCAAGCGTCAAAACAACAAGAATCTGCAGCTTCTGGCTCTACCAGAATCCAAAAGTAAGCGATGAAACAGCAAGAATCTGCAGCTTCTGGCTCTACCAAAATCTAAAAGCAAACGTCGAAATAGCAAGAATTCGCAGCTTCTGGCTTTACCAAATTCCAAAAGCAAACGTTAATACCAGAAACTTCAGAAGATACACAAATCGAAATGCTAAAAATTGGCAAAAAAAATGGCGCGAAAAGCAGTGGCTATTTTTGGCTATTTTTGGCTATTTTTGGCTGTTTTTGGCTGTTTTTGGCTGTTTTTGGCTATTTGTGAATTAACCTATACTATTTGTAAATAGTTTATATAAATTTGCGAATAGTTTATGCAATTCTAGCCATTTTTTTTGCCTGTTTTTGGTTATTTAACGTGTGATAATGGGCCATTTCGTTTAGTGGTACCATCCAGCTTGTACCAACAAAGCAGGATAGTACCACCAATTTGTAATATAACTGTACAAAGAGAACTAACTCTATTTACACGTACTAAACCTTATAGGAGTAATATCCATCATAGGAAATTAACGCCAGCATACACCAAACCTTATTATACATTAGGAATTTAAATATGGCATAATGTTCCGTAAGTTTACAAATTTTTGTAAAATTACGTACATTTACGGCATAATATTCTGTAGATTTATGGATTTCCATAAATCTACGTAATTTTACGATTGAAATATTCCGAAATAATACGTGATCGTAAATGTTTTGAAGCATTACGGTTAAAATATTCCGTAATAATACGTGATCGAAAATATTCTGAAGCATTACGATCAAAATATTCCGTAGAATTACGATATCGTAAATGTTTCGAAGTATTATAATCGAAATATTCCGTAATAATATGTGATCGTAAATGTTCTGAAGCATTACGATCAAAATATTTGGAAATAATTCATGATCGTAAATATTCTGAAGCATTACGGTCAAAATATTCCGTAATAATACGTGATCGCAAATGTTTTGAAACATTACGATCAAAATATTCTGTAATAATACATGATCGTAAATGTTCTGAAGCATTATGATCAATATATTCCAAAATAATTTGTGATCGTAAATGTTCTGAAGCATTACGGTCAAAATATTCCGTAATAATACGTGATTGAAAACAGTACAGTCAAAATATTCCATAATAATACGTGATCGTAAATGTTCCAAAGCATTACGATCAAAATATTCTGTAAAATTACGATATCATAAATGTTCTGAAGCATTACGATCGAAATATTCTGAAATAATTTGTGATCGTAAATGTTCCAAAGCATTACTATCAAAATATTCTGTAATAATACGTGATCACAAATGTTTCAAAGCATTACGATCAAAATATTCCGTAATAATACGTGATCAAAAATGTTCTAAAATATTACGATCGAAATATTCCGTAGAATTACAATATCGTAAATGTTCGAAGTATTACGGTCAAAATATTCTGTAATAATACGTGATCGTAAATGTTCTGAAATATTACGATCGAAATATTCTGTAGAATTATGATATCGCAATTGTTCTGAAGTATTACTATCAAAATATTCCGTAATAATACGTGATCAAAAATGTTTCAAAACATTACGATCGAAGTATTCTATAATAATACGTGATCGTAAATGTTCTGAAGTATTACAATCGAAATATTCTGTAATAATACGTGATTGAAAATGTTCCAAAGCATTACGGTCAAAATATTCTGTAGAATTACGATGTCGCAATTATTCTGAAGTATTATGATCGAAATATTCTATAATAATGCGTGATCAAAAATGTTCTGAAGCATTATGGTCGAAATATTCCGTAATAATACGTGATGTAATAAAGATTATCATATTTGTACTTGATGAACTTTACGCAATAGATAATGGTACATCATGTATAAAACTTATTAAATGTTATATTAAATTTATTAAAATGTATAAAACATCAAAAAAAGAAAAATTTAATGAAAGTGAATTGAAAAGTTTTGAGGTAATTAATTAATTTCAATTTAAGTATTAATAATGATAATTTTTTCTTATTAATTTTATAATTAATTTTGCAGTATGAAATAATTGATTGGACACAAGATTTTGTAAAATTGTTTAAAAACTTCTCTCCTAGCAATCTTCAATTACCAAAACTTCACATGTGGCGGTATCACACTATTCATACAATCAAACGTTATGGATCACTTAATGGGTTAGCTACTAATACTTATGAGACTTTACATAAAAATTGGGTTAAAAATCCATATAGAATGACCAATAAAAAAAATGTACTTGATCAAATATTAAAAACAGTAAGTTTTAACTAGTTTAAATTTTGTTTTATAATTAAAAAAAATATTTTTACTTATTATATTTTAATTTAGATTCGCCGATAAGAAATAATAACTAATGTAAAAAAAACACATGTTTCAAAATTAGAAACTATGAAATCATTATTATGGA